ATCGTCTGTCACTGCCGATCTGGTGCTCCTCCCGCGACCCCTTGTGACGTCCTGGAGCGTCCCAGCGTCTGGGTGGCCTGCTGTGCCGGGCGTGACACTCGACTAAAAATCTGAGTGGGCCTTTGCACCCGGACCCACCCACAGCCAAATGCAGGCAGCCAGCCGCCTCGTGACCTTCACGCAAAATTGCCCACGAGAAGGCTCAGCATCCCAGCGACATGGCGACATCATCGCCCCGCAGAGGGCGGTGTGCGACTGTGGCTTGCTGATGGCGCTACGGACCCGAGCCTGGACAGGGTGGCCACCCACGGAGAGTGCCTCCCATGGACCCAGAGCATGGCTTACCTTCAGGGACAGTCCCCGGAGCTCAGAACTCACCACACTGCTCCACAGCCACTTAGGCTTGACAGCTTTCGCAGGGAGAGCAGGCCGGGCCATAAATACACGGTCAGCTGCGCTATTCGGGCACCTTGAACCTTAACTTTTTTATATTATTTTTAGTCTCCTTTGGGACTGGGGAGTCCAGCCAAAGTAATTCTTAAAAACTGCTTGTGTGGTCCCTGGGTGTTAAGTTCTTGAGATTTGGAACAGCAAAGGGATGTGTGCAGTGTCTAATGTCATTAAATGTCTGGTTCTGTTTCCAATATGACATGTGTTTGTCTTCACTCAAAGGTGCTTGCTTCTTCACTGCCTCACGTGGAATATCCGTGACGTCTGATGTGTCTTTCCATGTAGCGCAACGTAGAGCATCCCTTCGTCTGGGTGTCCTGTCTTGTAGGACGTGGCACGAATAAAAATCCAATGGGCCGTCGTTGCCCTCGGACCCACGGCAAAATGCAGCAGCGACCTGACTGTTGGTGCTGTCTGTGGTGTCCACAGCTCTCCGTGAGCCGGGGCAACAGGAAGAAGCAGCAGCCAGTCCTGGACGGTCCTCACAGTGGGTGCTGGACTGGGGCAGCCCAGAGTTGCAGCCACTGCTTTCTTTCTTTCATTCTTTTCTTTCCTTCATAAGTGTATGGTGGGGTGGGGGGGACTCTTACAGTTCATATCACAACCCACACTTCAATTGTATGAAGCACAATTGTACATAGGTTGCCAGCATCATTTCCAAAACATTTTCTTTCTACTTGAGCCCTTGGTATCAGCTCCTCTTTTTCCCTTCTCTCCCCCACCCTCGTGAATCCTTGATGAATGATATATTATTGTTGTTATTTCATGTCTTACACTGTCTGTTGTCTCCCTTCACCCACAGTTCTATTATTCATCCCCCTGGGAGTGGGGGAATTTTAGATCCAACCTTGTGATCATTGCCCCACTCTCACGGTATCTCTACTGTTGGGGGTGGGGGCAGTAATCTGTCCTGGATTCCATGTGTCGAGAGCTCTTATCTGTACCTAGCCAGGTTTGTAAGGTAGAACTGGGTCATGATGGGGGGTGTCGGGGAGTATTCAGGAACTAGAGGAATGATGTGTGTTTTGTCGGTGCTATACTGCATCCTGACAGCCTCTGTTTCAATCCCTCACTTGAGGGGCTTCCCCTCTGCTGCTGACCCTCTACCTTTACCAAGCACAATGTCCTCTTGTAGCCACTGGTCTCCTCTGATCACATGTCCAAAGTATGAGAGAGTGAGTCTGGCCATCCTCACTTCCCAGGACCTTGTGGCTGTACTTCTTCCAGTCCTCCTCGTTGTTCTGGCAGCCTGCGGTGCCTGCAGGGATTTTCGCTGGTGCCACCATGCAGATATACCCGTTCCTTCAGTCTTCCCAAGTCACGGTCACAGCCAGACTATTACATTATAGTCAGTGAGCTGAGCAAGTTCAAACTCTCGATGCTCGGACTCCTACTTTCCCTGGATTGACCCTCCGTGGACTTCTCCCTTCTGATTTACAGAAACCAAGGGCAGGCATCTTGACACCAACCATGAGAGAACGTGTAGCAGGTAAGGGTGTTGGGGAAGCTCTGCAAATACACCAAAATACGAACATAGGGGGGCCTTTCATAACACAGGCTCAGACATCTGATAGGCCCCAGCTTGACTTCCAACTCTTCCGTGTGGTCTTTGGCAAGCAATTTCACCTTTCTGTGTGCCCACCTGGTGAGTGAGTCCTAATAGGACAAACTGGTGAAGATTAGAGGAGATGAAACGGGTGTTCTGTACAGGCACATAGTAGACGTGCCGTAAAGTGAGTCTTACTAGTACGAAACAGATCTTTTTGAAAGTGTTTACAGCCTCACCATGGAAGACCCTCTTATTCTTACTGGCCAGGAGAAAGACAGGCTTTCTACTCCCGGGAAGAGTGGACACTTAGCTGGACAGCTCTCCTTTGTCCTATAGAGTCGTCACTATGTGGGTTTAATTTTTGGTTTCTTCTGAGTGGCAGGGCTACATCTCCGTGAGGAACTGCTGTAGAACCTGATTTCTCAGTCTTGCAACATCTTTGCGGTTGATCTCCATAAAACTGTTTAATGGGAGTGGACACATACTGGTTGGTTGATGCGGTGATAACACAGTCTCTCTGCATCCACGCTTGCCCTAGAATTCCAAGCATATTTCAGAATAAGTCTGGCCCGCTTTTCTTTGTACCTTGAAATCCAGGCTCCACCCAA